TTATTAATCAATTAAAGAATATAATCACAACTTACTAATTAATCAATTAATCACTATAATCATAATTTATCAATCAATTAAAGAATATAATCACAATTTATTAATCAATCAATTAATCATTATAATTATAATTTATCAATTAATTAAATAATACAATCATAATTCACTAATCAATCAATTAATCAATTAATCATAATTTACCAATTAATAATTAAAATTTAATTCTTTCTAAACTAAATTTCAAAAAAAATAAATGAAAAAAAAAATTATACAACATACTTGTAAAATGGAGACTTGTGATTTAGAGAAATCAAGGAGAAATTAATGATTTGAAAGTGACGAATGGACCTACAAAATAAATAACAACAAAATCAGTTAATAAATTGAGAAAGGTAAAAACTAGACTAATGGAAATGAAAATTATTACAGAAAAATATATTCATTTATGCACATTAAAATTTTTAGTTTAAATATAAATCATATGGTAAAAAATAAAAAATACTAAAAAAAAAAACTAATCTTCACACAAATTTAACAGGTAGAATATCATATCTAGACACAAAGAGGTTGAAATGGCAATTGAGTGTGTTTGAGAGTGGATTACTGCCCAAAATAAATAAATAAAAAAAAGGTGAAGAAAAGGAAAAAAAAAAAAAAAGATCCTACCAAATCATATCTTCCTCAGCTTAAAAACCTCAAAAAAACAGTCAATATTGGCCAGATCAAGCAACAGCAGTTGTTGGTGTCTGGTTGCAGCAAAAAAAAAATTGAGAAATTAAGAGGAGACGATCTAAGGAGGAAGGAGAAGAGGTTCTAGGGGAAATTGAAATTGTAAACACATTTTGGTCAGTATATATGCCAAAATACAATGGCAAAATGTGGGACTTACCTAAGAATCCATCAAATTAGATTCTCTTGATTTTTTTGGTTAAGCACACTGACTCAAAGAAGCTGGAAAAGCTACCTGCAGAAAACTGAACTTTGCAGTACCTTATTTCGGTCATTTTCCTTAACCGAAATATTGCCACAAATCTGAACTAGCATGAGCTCTGATCAAATCAGTCATTGCATTTGTATTTCGGTCAATATAATTGATTGAAATAATGAGGTAAAGCTGAGCTGCACGTTACAGATTATTGTGTAGATAACTAGTTCAGTCAAGTAGAATGACAGCAATACAATGAAGATCAGAACCATGACCTGCTGTAATATCCCAAATTTTTGGAAATTTTATTAATTAAGTAAGGGATTTATTTGAGGAAAAATATTAATGAGGAAAAATATTATTGAGGGGCTTAATAGTCAAATTTTCAAAAGTTGGGGGACCTAAAAAAGAAAGGAAATAGGATAAGGATTGACTGATTCTTTCATTTCTTCCTTTTTCTTTTTCTTTCTTTCTTCGTCCAGCCACTTTCGGGTTCTGCTCATTTTCTTCTTTCCCGTCCCCTGCATCCTCCCCCAAGCTGCTGATATTCCTCTCTTGAGGAATTGGCAAAAGCTTGCTATTTTTCTCCTCTTTTCTTGTTCAAGAACAAGATTTGGACTGAGAAATCATCCCCTCTGCAGAAGAAATCCCGGATCTGCTCTGCTCTTCTCCCCTGTCCGTCGGCTGCTATGTGGGTGTGAGGTTTTTGGGCTTTTTCTAGTAAGATTTAGCCATGAATCCCTCTCTTTAACCTTGATTTAGGTTGGGTTTACTTTAATTGCTTTATTCCCTTCCAATTTCTGGTAGAGCCGTGAGCTTCTTCCCCAAAATCCCGTCAGTCCCCATGCTCGCCTGGTGCGGGTTCTGCTGGTCGGAAAAAAAAAGGGGGAATTCTGGTATGTGCTAGCTTCTCCAAGGCTGAATTTTACCCATTTAATTGCTGGGTTTTGTCCATTTAGTTAATGCTCTGTGTTGTCCGAAAATTTGTGGAAATAGGAAGAAATTTGGCAGCCATTTCAGTATGTAATTTTAGCTTTAATTCATGTAGAAATGGCTTGATTTGCTGCTGTGAATTTTCTGGAGAGAAAATCCCGTGTGTGAGTTGTGGGTTGCCAAGGCCATGCTCTCCATGTGCTGCCCGTGAGATTGGGGAAATTTTGGTAGCTTTAAGCTATGTTTTTAAGTGTGGTTAAGTAGGAAATTAGCTTGAATTGGGTTGTTTTGATTTTGGAGAAAAATCCCGTGAGATTAGCTATGTTTTGCCAATTTTGGAAGTTGAAGTTACTGTTCACGGGTACTGTTCACGGGTACTGTTCACACTCCGAGAGTCAACAATTAACGGGGATTTAATTGTTTAGTTTGTAATATAAGAATAAATTTGGAGATGTCCGGTTATGTGGAGATTGATAGAAATAGCACCGTGATTAGGGGTAGTGCTAATGATGATTTTACTTTGAATTTGTAGTAGTGCGGTATTAATTGTGGAATATTGTGATTAGGTTTGATCGTTCTGTCACTGTAGCACTTGGGTTAGCCTTCTGTTCTGTGCGAGTAAGGTAAGTAAAATTATGGTAAAGCCCTTTGATTTTAAAGCATATTTTAAACTGTTTTTGAGATGGTGGTAAGGTAAAATTGATTTTAAATTGATTTTATCAGCATCTGAGTGTGATTAAACTGAAATGAAAATTTGGATGATTTTAAATGAAAATTTCATGGTTTTTCTGAAGTAGAGTATGCCACTTGGAACTTACAGAACTGCTGTGATGATTTAAGGATTTTTTGTAAATTATGATTTTTTGTTAAATCCATGCCTACATGGAATTTGCTAGTTATTCTGAAATTTGGGATTTCGATTGTGAATTATGGATTTCGATTGTGAATTATGGATTTCGATTGTGAATTACGGATTTCTTTTGTAAATCTTGCATGGTTGTCTCTGATATGGTCATGATTTTCGATCCTCGCTACTGATATGGTCATGATTTCCGATCCCCGCTAGTGGGAGTAATGCTAGCACATGTCGACATGTTTACTGATATGACCGGTTTATTCTAACCCCTACCACTGGGCGAATACATTGGCAAATTCCGACGCCTGCCAATGGGCGAACACATTGGTAAATTTCGACGCCTGCCAGTGGGTGTTAAACACTGGCCATGACTTATAGATGAGACTACTGAACTGAGTTTTCTTCTGCATTAACGGTCTGTCAGGAAACGTTTTGTTATTGAACTAAATTTGATTTTGCATTGACGGTTTGTCATTGAATGCTTTGCAATTGAACTGAATCTGATTTTGTCATTGAGCGCTTTGTTATATGAAACTGTTTATCAGGCATGCTAAAAGTTTTACCCAAGGGCTATCCATATTTACTTACTGAGTCATCTCATAATTTTCCTTGTCCACCATTTCAGGAAGCGAAACTAAGGACGGGAAACCTAGGGAGTGACGAGTTAGAAGGCTAGCCATTTTGTAAAGTGAATATAGATTTGAGATATAGATCATGATTTTGTAAACTAAAGTTAATCGGAGATTTTATACATTCATTTAATGGATTGTTAGTTTACACAAGATTTGACCTTGAGATTTTGAGTTTCAGTCATGTGGGACATAGAATTAATTTTGAAATATTCGATCTAAGTTATTGGATTGTCAGACATGAATTGGATAAGTTCCGAGTCTTGTGCATTTGTGGGACCCGTTCACGAGTGCATGGCGTTTGCCACGTTCTCAGATTTGGGTTCTAGGGCGTGACACCTGCTTCATGTCAAATCGATTCAGGCTTTTGTTTCGATCAGTAAATTTGACTGAATTATGAATATTTTATATTTTCTATGAATATTTAATGTTAAATATGATGCAGATTTTTTTTTTTTTTTGCGTTTTGTTCAATCTGTTTATTTGACCGAATAAGCCTTACCCTTGAATTCCATCAAATCCCATGACCGAATTAGTTTTGGCACCATTTCCTGTGCAAGCAATTCGGTCAAGTTCCTTGACCGAAGTAATTTTTAACAGAATTATATTGCCATTCCATTTTTTAGCGGACAAAGTTGGTTAGGGGATAATTAGATATTTGACTCTTTGTAAGATAAAAATATTAAATGTTTGTCTCCTTGTAAATGTGTGTCTGTGTGTGTGTGTGTTTTTTTTAATTAAGTTTGAATAATGAAGTTGAATTAGATGAGTATGAGTTAGTTTTTTCTAGGACCAACAGGAGAAAGTTATTTTATATATACGGGGAGGGGATTTTTAATCAGGCCTCTAAAAAAGGTGAATTTATACCTTACTAATTGTGATGTAGGAACAAATGTAACAAGTTAAAAAAAAAAATTTATTAATTAAATATTTGAATTTTATATTATATTTTAGTTATATGTGTTTGTTGTTATGTAACTTCAAGTCTTAAAGTTATATAAATACCAACATAAATTTATTTTGAGTGATATTATGAACTAATAAATAAAGAGTTAATGGAAATTAACTAATTTTTATGAGTTTTAATTTTATGTAACTTATATGAAGTAATAGCTTGAAGTTTTTAGATTATATAAATACCAATCTTAATTTGGCTAAGCAATGTGCCGAGGCTCGCTTGTCATCTAAACTAAGAGAATTCACCATCCCTTAAGCTATGACAAACTTCAAAGTTTCTCTCAACTTTATTAGTTTTGGTTATGGTAAGTGGAGCAGTCATGGCTCGTGATGATGCTGAGAATTACCTTATCAAAAAACTTGGTTGTGAAAGCAAGATGCATGTAAAATGTGTGAAGCAGGTTTTTTCAAGCATATTTGAAGTTGGAACCGTCACAGATAGTTGCTGTTATGAACTTGCAAAATCAGGTCCACTTTGCCATTTTGCATTGGCTTATAGAACTCTTCAAACTGAATTTAAAACTTCTAATGCATCAAAAATTTTGGTTAAAAGTACACATGTGTGGAGTAGGTGCCTTGCACTTTCATCACAATTTGGTGGAGAACTAACTTCAATGTCAAGTCCTTCACCTGCATATGGCTAGTTTGGTTCATGCTAAACAAAAAGAAATAATTCAAATTAATAAAACTTTATCAATTTTTAGATTTTGTTAAAGTCCTATCTTATAGAAGTGTTGAGTGTTTATTTCTAAAATAAAACTTATCCCATTAACAAAATATAATGTCTTATTTTCATATTATTTCTAGAAAAATGGCATTTTAGAGTACTATTCCTTATTTTATGCACATTTAAAGGCCCCAAAAAATTCTATAGTGGCACTAGCAGCCCTTAGTGGGTTGGCAATGTGCATCAAACACCCTACCCCATACTAAGGTTCAAGTCCCTATTGGGACAGTTGTAATATTTCCCTTTTCCCTCCAAAATTTGCCCTTGCTCAAAACAAAAAAATTCTATAGAGGCTTTTGTTTGATCAAACACATGAACATAATTAAAGCATCAAGATTGGTGATACTAAGTTTAAACTAATTCTAAATGGCTTACAAGCAACGTTATATACTCAATTGACTTAAGAAAAACTTATTAAAACCTCAAATTTCTCTAATTCAAAAAAGAAAAAAGAAAAAAGAAAAGCAAAGGCAAATCAATAAAGATGAATATTTCTAATCAAAGCTGTATGTAAAATAAGGAGACAAACTAATCTTAATTTGTAATATTTTTTATTTGATAAGTAAATTTCTCTTGGTTTGTATACTATTCATTACATTGAAAAGAGCTTAATAGAGTCTAATACACTATTAATCCAATGTAGAGCATAAAGCAATGTTACTTGTGGTAAATAGTTATTTTGTAATAGATTACAGTACCCTTTGTATGCTTTATATTGTGTGTAATAAAAGAGATTTCCTTTGCTGTTTAAAAAAAAAATGTCGAGTACACGTAGGCAAAGCAGGGTTTATTTAATTGAGCTCTTTAGCAACATTAGCAATCTACACCTAATAATTTCTTGCATGGTAAATTTGCCAAGTTCAACTACTTGGTTAAGATAATTAGAACTTTGACTCTTTCTAAGATGAAATTTTAAATGTTTAACTCCTCATAAATAGGTTTTTATGAAATTCTTAAGTGCTAATAATTAATTTGAATTAGATGTGTAGGAGTTATTTTCTTTTAAGAACAATATGAGATAGCGAAAGTTATTTTATATGTATGGGGAGGGGTTTTTTAATTAGGACACTAGAAAAGGTGAATTTATACCTTACTAAATTGTAATGTAGGTACAAATGTAACAAGTTAAAAAATTAATTAATTGAGCTTTATATTGATTTTTTTTCATATTCTTCTACTGTTATATATGTAACTTCAAGTCCTAAAGTTACGTGAATACCAACATAAATTTCTTTTGAGTGATACTATGAACTAATAAATAAAGAGTTACTAGAAATTAACTAATTTGTATAAATTTTAGTTTTACGTAACTTAAATGGAGTAATAACTTGAAGTTTTTGAGTTATATAAATATGAATCCTAATTTGGTTGGCTAATGTGCTCAAGCTCTCTATCATCTAAACCAAGAGAATTTACATCTTTAAATTATGACCAAGAGAACTTACCATCTTTAAATTATGACAAACTTCAAAATTTCTCAACTTTGTTAGTTTTGGTTATGCCAAATGGAGTAGCCATAGCTAATAAAGACACTAAGAATTACCTTATAAAGAAACTTAGGTGTGCAAGCAAGATGCATGTAAAATGTGTGAAGTAGGTTTTTTTAAGCATATTTAAAGTTGGAACTATCATAGATAATTGTTGTTATGAGCTTGGAAAATCTAGTTCACTTTGCCATTTTACATTGGCTAATAGAACTCTTCAAATTAAATTTAAAAGTTCTAAATGCATTACAAATTTTGGTTAAAAGTACTTGTGTGGAGTAGGTGCCTTGCACTTTTGTCATAGTTAGGCGAAGAACTAACTTTAATGTTAACTCTTCCACTTGCATATGGCTAGTTTGGTCCATGTTAAACAAAAGTAAATAATTCAAATTAATTAAACTTTATCCATTTTTAAATTTTGTTAAACCCTTGTGTTATATGTGTTTTGAGTGTCTATTTCTAAAATGAAACTCATCTCATTAACAAAATGCATAGTTTTATTTTCTTTTCTTTTCTTTTCTTTTTTTTTTTAAATGGCATTTGAATATTATTCCACATTTTTATGCGCCTTTAGTGGCACCAAAATATTCTATAATGTCTCTAGTTTTGTCCAAACACATGAACTTAAAGTATTAAAATTGATAATAATAAGTTTAACCTAATTCTAAATGGCTTACAAGTGATATTATATATGTAATTGACTTGACAAAACTTACGAAAACTTCAAATTTTTCTAATTCAAGAAAAATAAAAATAGCAAATGCAAATCAAATAAGTTGAACATTTCTAATAAAAAATGTATTTATGACAAATACACAAATTATATCTTAATATTTAATATTTTTTATTTGATAAGTAAATTTCTCCTTGTTTTTTGCTATTCATTCTGGCAAAAATTAATTTGGTGTAGGTTAATGCCTTCAAAAGTTGGCTTTTTTGGGTGAATTAAGGTTATGTCTTGATAGGCTTCCAACAAAATGGAATTTACAAAAAAGAGGGGTGTTTCTGTAGGAGGAGGGATTATTGTGTGGTTTGTGTCATGAGGTGGTAGAGGAGGTTAACCATTTATTTTGTATGTGTAAGGAAGCTTGGTTAGTTTGGGTAAAGGTGCTACATTGGTAGGGAATGGAAACTATGTTGTTGAATATAGTTAGGGGAGTGGCGGAATTTTTCTTGCATGGTTTGGGTAGAATTATAGGGAAGGAGATGGTTGCATATATCTTTCTTGTTGTTGCATGGTACTTATATTATTGGAGGAATACTTGTGCATTTAAGAATGATGGGAGTATTGGGGAGCAATTGTTGGATATGGTATAAACTAAGTCATTTTTTAAGATTAAAAATAAGGTGAATAGTTGTGTTTTTTCTTTTTATAAGCGGAAGGTGAATCTAGTTGAATGTGTTTTAGCTGTGAAAAGATACAAGAGGCTCCTGAAGAGGTTTCGTAGGCAATAGCAAGGTTCTGCATGAGTTCTGTAGGAAAGGATACATGGGTTGTTGATTTTGGTTGATAATGGTAGGTTTCTGTTCTTGGTTATTTCTTGCTATTGGATTGATTTGTTAAATAATTGAATTAACATTTTAGCCTTGTATATAAGTTGGAGTACCCCTTGTACTCCTTATAATAAATTGTTCTTTGTTTTGCTGATTAAAAAAGAAAATTCATTACATCAAGAGAGTTTAACAGAGTCCAATACACTATTGATCCAATGGAGGATATAAAGTAATTGTACTTGTAGTCAATAATTATTCTATAATAGTTTAGAGTACCTTTTGTAAACTTTGTGTTGTGTGTAATAAAAATATTTTCCTTTGTTGTTAAAAAAAAAAAAATCTAGTACACATAAGCAAAGCACGGATCCATTTAATTGAGTTTGTTAGCAATGTCAATAATCTACATCTATGAATTCCTTGCATGGTAAACTTGATAGTTCAACCATTTGGTTAGGATAATTAGAAGAATATTGACTCACTGTCAGATGAAATTTAGATATTTGGGTTCTTGTAAATATGTTTTTCAAAAATTTTTTAATTCAAATAATTATACTAAATTAGATATTTAGGAGTTATTTCTTTAGGAACAACATGATAAAGCTATTTTATATTTATGGGGAGGGGATTTTTAATTACGACTCTAGAATATATGTATTTATACTTTACTAATTGTGATGTACGTATAAATATTAAAAAAAAACTCAAATTAAAAAAACTTTATCATTTTTTAGATTTCGTTAAACCCTTTTGTTATATGTGTTTTTAGTGCGTATTTCTAAAAACAACTCATCCCATTAATTAACTAATGAAATATTTTATTTTCATATTATTTCTTGAAGAATGGTGTTTTAGAGTACTATTCTATATTTTAATTGTTCCTTACATGTTGGATAGTCCAAAAGTGTTGCTTTTAAAGTAGACAATGCGTATGGGCTTAACAACAAGGAAACTTAGTCCTTGAAATATCATGATTGAATTAAACAAGGACTGGTATGATTAATCCATACAATGTGTGAAATTAAGTGACAAAAAGCATGACTGTCACGCTCCAGAACCCAAATTCGAGGCGTAACAAACGCCGTGCACTCGTGAGACGGGTCCCACAAATGCACAAGACTCGGAACTTAATCATATCACAATCTGATACCACTCCATAACTTATCCAATTCACATCTGACAATCCAATAATTTAAATCAAACATCTCAATTTATTTCTATATCCAAAAAGACTTAAATCCAAGTAATTGATCTAATGACCAAAATCTGTTTTGATCTCCTAAATCTCCAAATAAAGTCTAGTTTACAAGATCATGATTTATATCTAAAATCTATATAAATCTCAAAATGGCTAGCCTTCTAACTCGTCACTTCCCGTGGTTTCCTTGTCCTTGGTTTTGCTTCCTGAAATAGTGGACAAGGAAAAACTATGAGATAACTCAGTAAGTAAAATATAGAGTGCCCTTAATTAAACTTATAGCATGCCAACTAGTATAATCACAAAAAACAGGTACGAGTACGGAAATGAAATAGACGTCTCCTCTATAGGTCACGGCCAGTGTTATAAACCTCCCACTGGCAGGCACACTATTTGCTGGTGTATAACCCCCACTAGCAGGGTCACTCGAACGAACCGGTTCTATCAATAACATGTCGACATGTGCTAGCGTTTAACCCCCACTAGCAGGGTCACTAATAACATGACCACATTGGAGACAAAACAGGCTGAAGTTAACAGAAAAACATAATTCACCAATCACTTTCAAATCATCAGGACAATCAATTAAATTTCAAGTAGGCACGCTCAATTTAATGAAAAGCATAAAAATTTTACTTTAAATTAGTCATACTTACTTTTGCATAAAACGGGTTTAGTCCCGCCACCACTTCAAAAACAACTCAAAACATGCTTTTAAAAACTGTACGGGCATTACCATAAATTTACATACTTCAATCGCATAAAACCGAAGAGTCAATCCAAGTGCTAAAGTGGCCGAAGGCAAGGACCTAACCAAAATATCTAAGAATTAATACCTATACTCGCTTTTATTCAAAACCATATATCTCAATTTCATTCTCAGTATAACTAAACATTTAAACCCTCTTATTGTTGGCCATCAGTGCGTGAACAGTGCCCGTAACCAGTACCCGTGAACAGTAACTGCAACTTCCAAAAATTGACAAAACCATAGCTAATCTCACGGGATTTTCTCCAAAATCTCACAACAGTCAATTCAAGCAATTTACACATGAATTAAGCTTAATTATGCTCTAATTACTACCGAAATTCATCCCCTCAATTCAACAAAATTTCGGACATCACAGGGGCAGCCACTACATGGATAATTCGACAACTAATGGATGATTTTAGGCTCAAAGGGGGCTGTCACATACCATAAATCCAGCAAGCAAAACCGGAGCTACAGTTTGGGGAGGAGCCGGCGGGAAGTGCAGGGGAAACTCATGGAATTAACCCAAAAATTGAAGGAACAACAGATTTAACATGAACCCAAGCTAAATAAAGCTGAAAAGATGGAGTTCATGGCTGTGGCTTACCGGAAAAAGCCCAGAAATTCGTGCCTAGCAGCACCGGTGGACGGACAAAGCAAAGCAGATCCGGAAATTCTTGCGGGGGGGAGGGGAGATTTTTAAGCTCCAAATCTGGTTCTTAAACAAGAAAATAAGGGAAAATCCAAGCTTCTTACCAATTTTTCTTCAAGGGAGGGCTGTCGGCAGCATGCTTCTTGTTTGGTTGCAGGGGAGAAGAAAAGAAGAGCAGACGCACGGGTGAGGAAGAAGAAAGAAGGACAAAAAATAGTGGATCCTTATCCAAATCCTTTTCTCTTTTAAGTCCCTCAAGTTTGGATATTTTAACTAATAAGCCCCAAAATAATATTTTCTCACACAAAAATCCTTAACTTAAATGCTAGAATTCCTGAAAATTTGGGATATTACAATGATTAAGACATGCAAATCATGACCATTTGATTAAGTATTCAAAGCTTAAGGTCCATCCGGTAAAATGGTCAAAACAATGATAAAGAAGTGGAAATCTTGTTTATGTAATTAATAGTTGTGGACTTTGGACTTTTGAATTATGCAAACATGGTTTTTGGTCGGATTTGAATGATCAAACACATGATCATTTAGACATGTTCAATAAACATGTCTCTTCACAAGGTGGATATCTCCTTTGGGACACATCCAAACACACCTATTCATTGCCTATTTAAAGGAAAGTTCTGTCTTGTTTTGGTCATTCTATTCTTTTAGCTATTCATTTATATTTTGAGAGAGTTTTGATTTGTTCTATTGTATCATGAGGGCTTCTAAAGCCTTAAGGAAAGAGATTTTGTTTATACCTTAGAACTTTCATATTTTTTTGTTATTTTCTTGCTCTTATTTTCTAACACTAGAGACTCAAAAAAATTCTATAATGGCTGTTTCTAGTTTATATAAACATATGTAATATCCCAAAAAATTTAAAATTTTAGACATATATGTGTATACATGAATATATTAGTACAAGTGAATTTAAATTTAAGTTAAGAATTTAAATGGGAGGAATTATTATTTTTGGGCTTAATAGTTAAAATTTACAAATCTAAGTGTCACGCCTCAGAACCCAAAGCTGGGGACGCGATAGATGCCATGCACTCGTGAGAGGGTCCCACAAATGCACAAGGCTCGGAACTTATCCAATTCACATCTGACAATCCAATAACTTAAATAATATATTTCAAATTAATTCTATGTCCAACACTTAAGCTCAAAATCTCAAGGTAAAATCTATCTTACAAAAGCATGATTTATTTCTAAAATCTATATCAATCTTGAAATGGCTAGCCTTCTAATTCGTCATTTCCCGTAGTTTCCCCATCCTCGGTTTCGCTTTCTGAAATGGTGGGCAAGGAAAAACTATGAGATAAACTCAGTAAGTAAAATATGGAGTGCCCTTAATTAAACTTATAGCATGCCAACAAGTGTAATCACGAAAAATGGTTACAGTGCGGGAATGAAATAGACGTCTCCTCTATAGGTCATGGCCAGTGTTATAAACCTCCCACTAGCAGGCTACACTATTTGCTGGTGTATAATCCCCACTAGCAGGGTTACTCGTACGAACCGGTTCTATCAATAACATGTCGACATGTGCTAGCGTTTAACCCCCACTAGCAGGGTCACTAATAACATGACCACATCGGAGACAAAACAGGCAGAAGTTAACAGAAAAATCATAATTCACCAATCACTTTCAAATCATCAGGACAATCAATTAAATTTCAAGTAGGCATGCTCAATTTAATGCAAGGCATAAAAATTTCACTTCAAATCAGTCATACTTACTTTTGCAAAAAAAGGGTTTAGTCCCACCACCATTTCAAAAACAAGTCAAAACATGCTTTTAAAAATCGAAGCGCATTACCATAATTTATTTACCTTACTCGCATAAAACCGAGGATTCAATCCAAGTGCTAAACTGACAGAACGATCAGAAACCTAATCAAAATATCCAGAATGAATACCGCACTACTACAAATTCAAAGTGAAAACTTCATTAGGATCACCCCTAATCACGATGCTATTTCTACTAGTCTCCATATGATTGGACGTCTCCAAATTTATTCTTATATTACAAACTAATCATTTAATCCCCGTTAATTGTTGCCATCAGTGCGTGAACAGTACCTGTGAACAGTAATCACGCAATGAACAGTACTGCCACTTCCAAAAATTGGCAAAACCATAGCTAATCTCACGAGATTTTCTCCAAAATCTCACAGCAACTAATTAACTAATTTTCTACATGAATTAAGCTAAATCATGGTCTAAATACTGTCAAATTTCTCCCCATTTTTAACAGATTTCCGGACAGCATAGGGCAGCAATTAAATGGACAAAATTCAGCAACCAATTGATGAAATTTCGGGCTTGGAGGAGCTATCAACATACCAGAATTTTGCAAGAAAAAACCGGAGCTGCAAGCTAAGGGAAGGCCGGCGGCAATTTGGGGAGAAATCAAGAAATCTACCGAAAATTGGGAGAACCAAGAGGATTTAGAGTAAACCCAAGGCAAATCAAAGCTAAAGAGATGATTTCATGGTGGTTCCTTTACCAGAAAACTGGAAAAATCCCCACCCTCACCAAGCTGGAACCGGCAGTAGGGGAGGAAGAACAGAGCAGATCTGGAATTTCTGGGTTGAGAGAGAGAGTTCTAAGTCCTAAAACTTGTTATTGAGCAAGAAAGAAGGAGAAATTTCAAGCTTCTTACCGATTTTTCTTCAAGGGAGGGCTGCTGTCGGGCTTGCTTCTTGTTCGGCTGCAAAGGGGGTCGGGAAGAGCAGAATCGGGCTGAAGAAGAAAGAGGAAAAGGAGAAAAAAATCAGTCATCCTTATCCAAATTCTTTCCTCTTTTAAGTCCCTCAAGTTTCAAAATGTTGGCTATTAAGCCCAAAACAATATTTTCTCACACAAAGGTTCCCAACTTAGACGCTAGAATTCCCAAAAATTTGGGATATTACACCAAGGGAGGCATTAAAGGAGAAATCTGGTATTTAAGGGCTAAGGCGATTTTTCCTTTTTCCCCTAGCCCATTTTTGTGAGATTTCCCCAGCCCTCACCAGAATTTTTCCTTTTCAAGCCCAACCTATGCCAGCAGCTTCTTCTCGTTAGAATAAGGTGAGATTTAGCATTTTTCTTCCTTCTCCTAATAAGGGTTAGAGATTTATGAGCTTATAATTCTTAAAATCATGATAAAAACCTATATCTTGCTGTTGGTATCCTTCCATTTCCGGTCCATGTCGGGTGTGAAGAGAGGCTACCATTTTTCTAGCACTTCTGGTAAGAAATTTAACATATTGTGCACCTTTTCATCTTTAATTTGAAGTGGGTTATCTTTAATCATTTAGGGTTTTCAATTTTGGGAGTGTATCTGTGGTTTCCCCCTTGATTTACCCATAATCTAGCATTATTAGCTCTGATCCCTCTTTTTGCTACAAATTC